ACCTTAGGTAAGGATGTCCTGGATCCAGAGCTCTGAGTTGTCATTGTGAGCACTGTGGTGATTCCCAGGGCGACACGGGCAGGAGCGGCATCCATGTTAATCCAGAAGGAGACCCAGGACAGGATGACGATGAGCAGACTGGGAATGTACATCTGGATCAGGTAGTAGCCCATCTGTCTTTCCAGGTGAAAACGTACCTCAATGCATGTGAACTTGCCTAACAGAAAGAAAAGTGGACAGAGGACATATGAAATTATAGATGAGGATTTAAGATACTAAGACCTGGTAGGTTTGGTTATTTTGTGGTTTTAGTAGGATCACTAATGCATTTTGAAAACCAAAAATGTTTAATTTTAGTTTGTTTGCTTTGGTGAGACCAAAAATGTATAATAATCTAAAACAACTGTTTTCTATTTGAATATATTTTAAAATGTAATTTATTCTTGTGACGACAAATGGCAAAGCTGAATTTTCAGCAGCCAGTGTCACATGATCCTTCAGAAATCATTGTAATGTGCTGCTTAATACATTTGTGAAAACCATCTATTTTATGAATAGAAAGTAAAAAAGAACAGCTTTTAACATAAATGTCTTTACCATCATTTTGATCAGTTTAATGCATCCTTGTTTAAAAAAGTATTAATTTCTTTAAAAAATCTTAATGACCCCAAACTTTGGAACGGTAGTACATATATGTTAAGTATATATCTCAAATTACAAAATTATAAACATTTTCAAAGAAATTAACACTGTAAAAAGTGGTAACCTGCAACTGTTTCCTTAAAGACATATTTCTACCTGATTTAACCCATAAAAGTTAGTTCCCTTTTGGACGGTCTCTCCCATTGTAACGCTGACACTTTTGGGGAAACTCCTGTTTACTCTGATACTGAAGCCTGATTTGTTCACATTCGTGTAGCTGGAAAACCATCTATCTTATGAATAGAAAGTAAAAAAGAACAGCTTTTAACATAAATGTCTTTACCATCATTTTGATCAGTTTAATGCATCCTTGTTTAAAAAAGTATTAATTTCTTTAAAAAAATCTTAATGACCCCAAACTTTGGAACGGTAGTACATATATGTTAAGTATATATCTCAAATTACAAAATTATAAACATTTTCAAAGAAATTAACACTGTAAAAAGTGGTAACCTGCAACTGTTTCCTTAAAGACATATTTCTACCTGATTTAACCCATAAAAGTTAGTTCCCTTTTGGACGGTCTCTCCCATTGTAACGCTGACACTTTTGGGGAAACTCCTGTTTACTCTGATACTGAAGCCTGATTTGTTCACATTCGTGTAGCTGCACGAAACCAATGGTGCTTTAACTTGCCAAAAGGGGAGGAGCCGACCTCTATGTAAGTCGGCTTTGAGCACCATTTTGTCTGAATTTTTCTCCTTCAGTGACAAAGAACATCTCCTTGTTGACGATGAAAACAAGAAGCCAAAGAAGAAAGAAGCTCAGCTCAGCCTGCTGCTCGCCGCCATAGAAGGAGCCCCCAGGGGCAGAAGAAGCCAGAAGCCTTCCCCTTCCTTCACTTCTTGCCGAAGCGCTCCAATGCGGCGGCTGATTCAAGTCACCAGAAGGCTCCATCTGCTCAGCAGCCTGCCAAGCCGGTGCCGCTTCAGCCCCAGCTTAAACCTGAGCCTGGGCTTCAGCAACGCCCCCGGACGGTGAAACGCTACCTGTTTCCAAAGCGCCAAGGGCCCTGCTTCAGAGTGACGTTGGACACTGAGCCTCAGAAGCCGTCCTGATCCAAACGCAGAAGACAACTTTCTCTGCCCAATCTAATTTTTGTGACAGTAAGATGCCCTGGCCCTTGATTGGCCCAGCGCTTGCCTGTACACCTGGATAGTGGATGCTTTAGCCTTGGCTTACGCGGGCTTGCAGTGCCCTATAGGTGTGAGGGCCCACTCCTGCAGAGGAATGGCCTCCTCCTGGGTTTGGTCCAGCGAAATTTCTATTGGTGACATTTGTGCGGCCGCTGGCTGGTCGTCGTCATCTAAACTTTACCAGGTTTTACAACTTGGACGTCCCTGCCCTAGGCACAGATTTTGTCCACTTAATTCTACCTAATCCCCTTATAAGTGGGGAGGGTTACGTTATGTAGTCTCATTACTGGCTCATGCTTACAGGGGCCCTCCGTAAGAGTGCTCCAGGGCTGGGCTCGCAGAGCTTCTGCACTTGCTTATAGCACGGCGCCATTGGATGCATTCTCCAAAAGCATCAGTGATGCAACGGGAGCTACACGAACAAGAACATATCAGTCTTCAATATCAGAGTAAACAGGAAGCACAGATTTTGTCCACTTAATTCTACCTAATCCCCTTATAAGTGGGGAGGGTTACGTTATGTAGTCTCATTACTGGCTCATGCTTACAGGAGCCCTCCGTAAGAGTGCTCCGGGGCTGGGCTCGCAGAGCGGCTTCGTTCTGCACTTGCTTATAGCACGGCGCCATTGGATGCATTCTCCAAAAGCATCAGTGATGCAACGGGAGCTACACGAACAAGAACATATCAGTCTTCAATATCAGAGTAAACAGGAGTTTCCCCAAAAGTGTCAGTGATGCTCGTTCCCTTTTCTCAGGGAACCAAGGTTACATTAGTAACCTGAGCTTTTTGTTGGTATAAATGAGTGTATTTAGGTTGATTCAGAGATGTTAATAATTTAGACTTGAATAAAACCAATTAATTTTGGTGTTACCTTTTTGTTACATAACGTTGTTACTAACGATGTTGTGAAGGATCACAAATACCTGATTTAGTCTGAAAATAATGTGTAAATAAAGATGTAAATTTGTCCGACATTGCAAAACCATAATGTCACAAACTGAAAGTGTGTTAATTTAAATTTAAAAGTAGATATTTGTTTCATATGTGGATCGTGAATGACTTTAGAGAGCGGTTACAGACTTTTACGTTTATATACAAAGTCCACATGAAAGGTAGAGAGCACCTACTTAAAAGGTCTGAGAGCTTTCAGCTGCAGTCTGTCTTTTTGTTCTCTGCTACTGAGCCTTTTCCTCTCTCAAAACAAATTTCTGCAAGGCTTGTCTTTCCTGAAAAGCAGGGAGACAGCTTTCACTATTTCTGCATCTTTTGTTCCAAAGTCCCTGGGAGATTTTTTTGCTTGGTATTATTCCACACTGCCCTGCTCTATAACTGGACTACACTTGGGGAAAAATACACTTAAACTCAGTAAATAAATCTGTAAACCTAAATAAAATATTTATATAGAGGCACATAATGAATGCTTGCTTAAAACTACATATGCAATATTTTATATGTGCCTAAACAAGTACAGTAGTTGTTTAGGAGTTGTGTAAGAGTGTGTTTGACACAAAAATGCTCCCTCTGGAATGTAACCTACTCGTTCTCAAACAGACACACACTAACACAAACACACACTTCTAGTCTTCTCGGGAGTTTGAATGGTTAGAGCTGTCAACACTGTAGTTGAGGTGACCAGAGAATAAAACCCCCGAGAGACTTAGTGAGAGAGGTGAGAGAAACAACAACAGGAGAAAGAAGAAAGGGAAAAGAACAAAAATCAGGAGACAGTCTGTGTTATGGAGCCTGACAGCACCTACATTCACAGGACAGAAGTGGGATGTGCTCCAGGCTCAGGAAACAACACAGCAGAATAAATAAACCTGGGATATTACAGTGGATTGCAGACTCATGTAGAATAATGTATTTAATTTACCTCCCCAGATTCTGAGCCAATATATATATAGCAGTGCGCTATGGCTGAATATCAGCACGGCTGCGATTCGGCCGTAGGTCACAGAGTAACAATATACAGCCATATCGCACTGCAACCAGTGTGATATTACGTTTATACAACAGTTCAATGGCACAAGTGTTTAAATAAACAATATACACACAAACAAACAATCTAGATGCCGGTAAAATAGCATCAGATATAATAGTTGTGTGGTTATTTTGCTGTTTATGTGGTGGAATATGCCCTTTGTGGCCCTTTGCTTAGTTTCATTGTGTTGGTTATACAATTTTCTTTTCTTTTGTTTGTTTTGGTCTCGATTTTTTATGTTTTGTTATATGATTTAAAATTTCAAAGAATGCACTCCAAACTCTTTTACAAATGGCAACAGTTTATTTCCCATGCCACAAACTAATATATACATTTAAAACATCGTCTTACTTACATTGTGGGTCCACTCTCAACTGCCAAACCCATGTGCAGCGAAATATATATATATATATATTAACATTAAATAAATATTTTTACCAGGTTAAATGTTGATTATTAGTAACTCAAACCACTTTATCTAAACCTATCTACCATTGGTCGTGCACACATGTCATGTTTGTAGCTTTTTAAACGCGTTTTATTCATGTTTTTAGTTCTGAACCAAATGCTTTGCCAAAGTGCAATGGATTGTGGCAAAGTCCATTTAAGACAAGTCATGTCACTCGATTAGACTTTGATGGTAATAGCTTTGGACTTTATACTCATGATGTACTATAAGTAAAATAAATCAACATGAATGACATTTATAATATCAACGATTTTCATGTGAGTTCATGGCTCTAAATTGCATAGCACATAAGACATGTAATCCTAATTTCTTTTTTTTTTTATAATAATCATTTTGCCTGCACAGTGAGTCTCAAACCTCCTATATGAGGCAAATGGTTTTAGGCCTTTGTGTGCCAATATTGATTCAATTACTAAGTGAGAAATTTGAAGGGAGTCCAGGGAATGATCATGTGACTGGCATGTAGAAGCATAGAAGCATACAGTGTCCTGAACACAACTGCCAAGAGATTTCCTGTCGATAAAGAGACCTTTGAATCTTAAGCATTTTCTCCCATCCCATTCTATACTTCTTTGATTATTTTTCCCCTGCGGTTTTCCATTTCTCCTGACTCTCAAGTCTTTTACGGCTGGTCTCTCTCTCATTTTGTCCTTATATACTGTGGACAATTGTTTGAGGCAACCTGACCTTGACCCACCAGCATCTGCCATTCATCCTGTCAGAAAGTCCCTCTGAGGCAAAACACACAGGGAGACAAAAGCATACACCTCTTCAGCCGGGATTGTGTGGCCTATGTCTTGTGATATGTGCACTACTGATATGACTGATAATATCAGGTTTCAAAGGCAAGAAGAATGAAAAAATTAAAGGCAAAATAAGAGGATACTGACCGATTAATTCAATTACATCTGACAAGGCTAATCAGGAC